AAAAATAAATAATTAATGTTAATTTTTTTTTGCCGGGAGTGACGCGTCTTTATGACGAAAAGAAACTATTTAAAAATTAAACGAATTCGAAAAGCAAAGAAAAGACACGGACAAAAACTTATTTAATGTTAATTTTTTCTTGTCGAGAATGACGCGTCTTTATCACGAAAAGAAACTGTTTAAAAGTTAGATGGATGCGAAAAGCAAAGAAAAGACAAGGACAAAAATTTATTCTTAATTTATTGAAATTTGGCTGACCATACAACACTGTTTCGAGTACTGATAAGCAGGGACGGAAAATAACAGTTATCTTAAAATTTTTTATGGAAAAAAACAGCAACAAAAAGCTGTCTAAACTCTTATTTAAGTAAATAGTTATCATTCTAACAACTTTTATCCTTAATATTATGAATGCTTTTTATATATAAGCGTTTTAAAATAAAAATCAAAAAATAATAATTAAATTTGATTTTTATTATATTCATCAAAAATAATTATTATTATATCCCTTTTATTTTTTCGCGCAGAAATAACTCTTAAAATTTGCTTCTTATTTTAAAACTGACAAATAACTGGTATACTTGCGTTATATAATATAAAAATCAAGAGTATCTGCACGATATTTTTAAAATGAAAATATAAAATGCAATTTTCATACAAGGTAGTTGTTTTTGTAATGCCATAGAAAATGTTTTAAAAGGTTGGTGCAGGTAAAGATTTAGTTCAGTTTTTTGTTTTTTGCTTACTGCATCCTGCTAAAAAATTGAATGCAAGTGATGGATGGCTGGCAAATTTTAAAACACGACACAGTATTCGCCTTCTTAAAATTTGTGGGGAAATTCTTTGAAGCGATACATCAAAAATAACACCATTCATTCATAATTTACCAGCAAAAATTGATAAAATGGACATCTCCATTTCAAAAGAATTTTGACTATTTTATCGTTTTTTAACGGATAAAACATTTGTTACAGTAAACGAAAAGACTGTACTGGGCCGAAAAACAACAAAGGAAGGAATCACATTTTTGTTGTGTACAAATGCAAATGGTTCGCACAAGTTGAATCCGTTGGTAATTGTTAAATCTACAAATCCACGTTCCTTTAAGGGATTTGAAAACTGTTGTAATTGTCACTATTCGTATAAACAAGTTTAAGTAAATCGATATTTTTTAGGATAATAGTAAGTTTTTTGTTTATTCTGTAATTTCGCAATTCATGCAGTTTTTTTATACACAAATCATGTATACATATCACAACATACGAAATCCAAACGTCAAAAATATGATGTCAGTGTTGCCATTTTCATATATTTTTTTATAATTTGATAAAATAACCTATTGGAATACTCCTATTCAAACAAGTCGCAAATTTTAATTTGCAACCAAAGGCATTGTTGTTGATTGACAACTGCACTGCACATAAACCAATTGACATGCAAAAGTCTGATGATGGAATCATTGTAGCAATGCTTCTACCACCTAACGTAACAGCGGTTTTGCAGCCGATGGAGTAAAATCCAATAGGATTGGTCAAGTTAGAATATCGAACTAAATTGTTATGCAACATTGTCGCACAAAAAAACGTTCTGATTGAAATATGATAAAAAAGAAGGATGATGATCAATACGATAATGAAGACGACAGTCCATTGTCTAAATTAATTAAATCAAATAATTGTTAATGTCGAAAGTGAGTGATAATATTGACATCAGTATTGACGATATTTGAAATTGAAACAGGAATCAAATTACGAAGATAACGAACATTTCGAGGTGTCTGATAACGATGGATCAATGACCAAGCAAGATATTCAAAAACAGAAAGTGAGTTTCTCGGAAGCAGTTGAAAGCATCAATACCTTGATAAAATGGTACGGAAACAAAAACGATGCAAATCAGGTGGTAGACCTTGTCAGTATGCGCACGAAACGGGTCGAGCTATTACATAAAAGAAAAAAAACAAACAACTCTCAACTGCTCTTTTAATCCAACCAGTACAAATTAAATTTAAGTTTTCCTTTCGTAACAATGAAATCAAAGTCATTGAATTAAGTTTAGCGAGTAATATCAAAAAAAATTTGTGCTTACTTTTGTATCTTTTTTTTTTTTGATTCTGAATTTTAAAAATCGCTTGGTAAAATTATTAATTCGAAAAAGTTGATTACGCTTGAAACATTTCAGTTAACTTTTTCGAGATTCTACTGTACCACAATAATATACAATTCTAACAAAATCTTATAAATATTTTGTGACATACATTTTGTTAGAATAAGGGTACCCATTTAAACTGATGAATGCCTTATAATCGTTATAATCCTTATAAACGTATAGATTTATCTACTTTGTAAGTTGTCAAACCTTGTATGAAAAATAGTTTACACAATCTTATAAATTTACACGAAAATTTTACCGAATAAATTTATCGCATAAATTTACAAAAACATCTTTGTAAATACTTTTTAGTTTGGACATTTTGCTCAATTTCGGCATATTATTTTATAAGTTATTGATAGCAATTCAGCAAATTGACAAAGTCTACAAAATATTTAGCATTGCAATGATATTGGCTAAACATTTGGTTGAAGAATTGTGTTGTTGAGTATTGCATTTTGTGCTGTCATAAATATTGACAGCTGATTGATAAATTTACAAAAATAATTCACTAATTGCGTTCATATAACTGTGTATTTAAACGTATAAATTTAAATATTTGATAAATTTATGTGCTTAGATTAATACCCTTAATATAATATAGTATATCGATATAGTAATTATACTACAAAAATGTTAAATGCAACAGATTAGCGGCGGAGTTTTGGTCAGAATCACCCAATTGAAATCAAATATATTGGGCAATAATATATTACGTCATCGAAGAAGTAGGCACAATTGGATAAAGTTATCCAAGTTCGTGTTATTATGTTTGAACTTATTTCATTAAAAAATGAAATGAAAATACCAGTCATACAAGCCAAATTTAAAAACTTTTTGTTAAAAAATCCGAATCACTTATTCGGTTAATGCATTTATTATAAAAAATAAAAGTCAGGCGAAGAAGTGTTAAATGTATAAAAAACAATTACATAAGTGAAAACTTTCTGCGGAAAGGAAAAATTAATCTAGAAAAACCTATACTAAATTACAAATTGTAACAACTAACAAGATTCAGTAACTCATATTAAATCATGTGAGTCCGATAGCGAAAGGATACGCGTTAGACATCGAATTAGAATCAAATAAAAACGCGGTGATAACTTTATGGATATCACATTGAGTATGTTAAATAAAAAACTATAAACTATAGAGAGTATATTTCATGATCAAGATTTGACAGCACATATATGTTTTCAACATGAATATGTCTAAGCCACAGAACACATCATGCTTTAGCTTTGTATTGAGAGAAGTTTCCGGAGATTGCATTATCATCTTTTGGTGATGTAAATTGGGTACCAATGTCAGGGGATTTTCAGCCGTTAGACATTTGCTGTGGAGTTACGCAAAGATTCGTGTTGATAGTTTTATGCCGACAATTCTTGAAAATGTATCACAAAAATATTTATTACTAACTGATATCCAATGAAGGACTTTACAACGATGTTGCATTTCCACCTAACGACAAGTCCGTTTAATCGTTTAATCTAATTAATGTTTAATGTAATTATGGTAACTCTGTTATAGCATCTGTTACGAAAGACTTTAATAATATCCAATACTACAGAACAGTTATTATCCAACTGCTACGGGATAATTTGGATTAACATAACCACAATACCTGTGCCATAGTCTAGTTCAAGTTAGTAGAAAATTATGAGGGCAGAGAAGTATCAATAAATGATTATTTACTTTTATTTATGTAACTAATAATAACAATTTTTTTAGTGATATACACTTTTTTTGCAAAGCAGTTTTTTACGAATTACAAGTAAAATCAAATTTACTTTTCTGACTTTTGTAAATAGTTCCTCATTTTTCCTAAACCTTGTCTGAATATACGTGTATATATTGACGCAAAAAGATTTGTTTTGCACAATCAACCGAGGTGACAGCACGTAAAATAGTACTAAATAATACTAAGTCAATTATTTAAGTGCACACATACCTCGATATGAATCAGCCTTTTACACGGCATTTCCCTGTAAAAGCCGATGGAAACCGATGGTAAGTCTGCGAGAAAATAATTTTTGGAAATCTTCAACATTAGAGATGCCATACTCGTACACAACATTATTAAATAATGAAATAAATAAAAATCAACCAAAATTCCAATCAACCTGTTTGGAAACAAATATATAGAGAATACATAAAAATTATGAGTCTGAAGCTAATTCTATTCCTAAACTCCGACAAAAGATATTAAGCTTAACTTTGATAAAAAATTTGGAATAAGGTTATTTGATTAAATTGCTCTATGCGGACACTTGATGAGGGGCTAGAGTCTGCTATATTCAGGCAGCTATCATTAAGAACGTTAATGACTGCACTTCTTATTTGGAGAACAAAGTGAACATTTTTTTCAAAATTATCCAGGCGAAGAACGTAAGAGTAAAGTATCTCAAGAAGTAAACTCAGCTATTAGTTGCTAAAAATATTCCTAAAGCTTTATTTTTAAGATAGCATTTTTTATCAAATTAAAGGAATAAAATTTCTAATGTATAAATGAACCCTTCATATAATATATCACTTTTTAAAAATATGGAATTGAATGGCTTTTCGAATTACATAACTGTTTTAAAAAAAAGTAGCGGGAAATATCACTTTCAAAAAAAGGGATTGTAGTAAACGGACGTAGTACAACACTGGTAGTAAACGTACGTTGTACAACACGGAAGAAGAGCAGCTGTCAGAGAGAAAAGGGCGGCAAGATAGCGTTGGGTGGAAGATTAACAATTAGTGTGTGTTGTATTGTAATGAAATAATAAAGTGATACGAAATAATATAGAACTGTATTTATGTGTAACTAGCGAAGTTACTACATTGGCGACGAGGATAAAGCTAACATGAATGCGGAACAGTTTAATTTGTTGTTGCAAGCTGTGCAAAAATCAAATGACGCTTTGCTTGAGGAGCTTCGGTTGTCGCGGACACAACAACAAATTGATGCGCCTTCTTCAACTACAGAAGCAGTTTCGTCAACATTCAGGAATCTATCTGACTCAATGCTGGAGTTTTGCTATGATCCTGAAAATAATGTTACATTTGAATCATGGTACAAGCGTTATAAATCAGTTTTCGCTATAGAAGCAGCACATCTCACTGAGCTGCTTCTATGGTTCGATTGCTCACTAGTAAATTAAAAAATTTGGATTTCGAGCAATATGCAAACTCAATCTTACCAAAGGAACCCCATGAGCTTACACTCATGCAAACGGTTGCCAAACTCTCGTCTATTTTCGGATATCGCCAATCAAAATTTTCTCAGCGCCAAAAATGTCTTACAATTTCAAAACAGGATTACGAAGACTTTGCTCTGTACGCAGCTCGCGTCAACAAACATTGTGAAAAATTTGACATCGTTAATTGCACTCCCGATGAGTTTAAAGCACAAATCTTTGTTAATGGCTTGAAGAGTTCACACGATTCGTTAATACTTGAGAAACTCCTTGCAAGACTCGACAATGAATCAACACAGTTTGGTGCACTTCAGACACAGGCGCAAAAGGATGCCTTCATGCACTTAACACTTCAAGACCTCACTAATGAAGCTGAACGTATAATCTGTCTGAAGCAAGACAAATACACTGTTGTCCAGCCATCTTCAAGTTCAGAAGTTTTTACAATTCACCATCGATATCAACGCAAAAATGAATCATTACTATCAAATTCTTCAACTAAAGACGAATCTTCGAAACCACCAACGCCATGTTGGTGTTGTGTTCAGCATGTAAAACTATTGGCCACAAAAATGGTTACTGCAATATGAAGCCAATCAAGTTGCGGAAAAAAAATCTCAGCCTGACACATCATGTGTAAAGAAAATTGACGAAACTAACAGAACGCAGCAGCATCGTAGGTATGTCAGACCAAATCTCAATGGATCTACAATTAAACTCCAACTTGATACCGGGTCGGACATAACAATTATTTCCAAATCGAACTGGACCAAACTTGGCCAGCCAATCCTACAAACTACTAATAAAAAAGCTGGCGATGTTTCTGGAAATGTAATTCCTCTTCTTGGCAGCTTTGCTTGTGTTGTGAACCTAAATGGAAGAGAGGAATATGATGTGTGTTATGTCACACCACTTAAGTTGAACGTGTTTGGAATTGATTGGATAACGACATTTGACTTATGGTCAGTGCCTATCAGTTCCTTTTGCAAAGCAATCCAACTAACTAGTTGCGATAAGTTAAACGATGAAATAAAGGCTAGATTTCCGTCTCTCTTTTCTAATGACCTTGGCTGCTGTACGAAGACCCAAGCGACTCTGAGGCTAAAAGAAGGAGCGCGACCCGTTTATCGTAACGCTCGACCAGTTCCATATGCAGCAGCTCCCATAGTTTCGGCAGAACTTGAACGTCTTCAACATCTTGGAGTAATTTCACCAATTGAATACTCACAGTCAGCGGCGCCAATCGTAGTTGTAAGAAAGAAGAATGGAAAAATTCGTATATGTGCCGATTATTCTACAGGTCTAAATGACGGTCTAGAGCCAAATAAATATCCTCTTCCAACGCTTGACCAAATATTCTCCAAACTCGCTAATAAGAAAGTCTTTAGCACAATTGACCTATCAGATGCATTTTTCCAGATTCCAGTGGACCAAGAATCTCAAAAACTGATGGCTATCAATACTCACCTCGGCTTATTTAAAGTACTTAGACTGCAGCAAGGTGTTAAAACAGCCCCTGGCATTTTTCAACAGATTGTTGACACAATGCTTAGCGGAACCAATACCATTGGGTTTATTGATGATATGATCTGTTCGGGAATTAATGAAGAAGACCACAAAATTCAACTGTTTAAAACCTTAGAGCGTATTCAGGATTATGGATTCAAACTTCGCTTCGAGAAATGTAAGTTTGGAGAAACATCTGTCGAGTTCTGCGGACACACGGTAGATCAATATGGTATCAGACCACATCCAGGGAAACTTCGATCAATCCAAGATCTCCCACCACCAACGAATTTGCAACAAACACGAGCATTTTTAGGAGCTGTAAATTATTATGGGAAATTCATTAAAAGTATGAAAAGCCTTCGCGGTGCTTTAGATGAACTTTTAAAAAAAGATAAGAAGTTTGAGTGGAAACAACATCATAATGAAGCATTCAACAAGATTAAAAATGTTTTAGCTTCTGATCTATGTCTCACGCACTTCGATCCAGCAAAGAAAATAATTTTAGCTACTGATGCTTCAGAATACGGTATGGGTGCAGTTCTCATGCATCAATTTAATGACGGAACGCTTCACCCAATTATGCACTACTCAGCTACATTCAATGCAGCGGAGCGGAAGTATCCTCAAATGCACAAGGAAGCTCGAGCTCTCGTGTTTGGATTAAAAAAATGTCACTATTACATTTCTGGTCGTCGCTTTACCATTCATATCGACCACAAGCCACTTCTTGCTATATTCAACCCGAAAAATGGCATCCCGTTGTTTACAGCAGCTCACCTGCAACGTTATGCAACCACTATTCTGTCATACGACTTCTCTATTGAATACATAAATACTGACAGCTTTGGATATGCCGATATTATTTCTCGACTAATCGCAAACCATGTAAAACCTGATGAAGATACCGTCATAGCATCTATACAATTAGAAGAAGACGAGGACCTGAAAATCAATTGTTTTGCGGTAGAAACAGCCACCAAACTTCCAATCACTTTCACTAATATTCAAACAGCAACCAAAGCCTGCCATACTCTCAATAAGGTCACGTTCTACATTCAAAATGACTGCTGGCCTCAAAAGAGAAAACAAATCACAGATAATGAAGTAGCGGCATTTTTCCAGCATCGACATCATCTTACGATCCAACAACAGAGTATTTTCTTTGGTGAGAGAATTGTTATTCCCAAAATTTACCACCAGCAAGTCCTTGAAGATCTCCATAATGGACATCCAGGTGAGTGTCGTATGAAACTTTTTGCTGCTAAGAAGTTTTTTGGCCAAACATTAATCTTGATATCGAACATGTGGTCAAAACTTGTGACACATGCGCTACAGCCTCAAAAAGTCCAATGAAATGTACTCCTCAACAGTGGAAAATTCCTT